CCCCCCCACAGCTCCTATCCTAACCCTAACCCGTACCTCTACCCCCCACAGCTCCTATCCTAACCTGTACCTCTACCCCCCACAACTCCTTCTGTAGTCCCTCTACCTCTTCTCTATCTCACCACTGACTCTGATCAGTGTTTCTCCTCTGGATAGCTTATCGTCATAGTGATGAGAAATGGAATATTGTGTCTACTCTGTAAGTCGTTTTGGATAATAGCGTCTGCCAAATTCATAAACAAAAACATAAACAACATATTATAAAACGGTGTTCTGTGACCTTTGACCAAGTTTTACAACCATCAAAACCGATTCTTACACACCCCGCAGAGGCTGCTTGAAATAGATTCTCTCCGATGTGCGTTTCCAGGTGTCTATTTCTATTTCCTGAAGACTTGAAGGTTTTCTCCCACCGGTTGCAGCCGTAGGGTCTCTCCCCGGTGTGGCTCCGGCGGTGAACCTTCAGGCTACCGAGCTGCCTGTAGGCTTTCCCACACCGGTCACAGCGGTACGGTTTATTCTCCGTGTGGGTGACCTGGTAGGCTTTGAAACGCGAGTGCACGGCGAAGTGTTTACCACAGAGGTGGCAGCGGAACGGTTTCATCCCAGAGTGGATGACTTGATGCGTAATAAAGTTTCCCATCTGATTAAAAGTCTTCTGGCACAAACCTGTAATGTTCCTGGCACTAGAGCTGGCTCCGCCTCTCAGCTGCACCCTTCATCACCTCCACGCCCCGCAATTACCTTCATCGCCTTCACCTGTTTCCACCTCCATATATATTCCGTTTCTGCCTGACTCCAGTGCCAGAACGTATCGAGCCTTGTGTGAGTACTTCCAGCGTTATGTAATCCTGTCTGCCTGATATTCGACCTGCCTTCCGTCTGCCTGTTTTCCGAGCCTGCCTGTCCCTCGCCTGAACCTTCTGACTGATCCTGACTGCCTGCCCGTGTATGACCCCGCCTGCTCCCTTGGACTGCCTCCCTGGTTTTGACCCTGGACTGTTTCTGGACTCCCGTGGATTTACCTCTGCCCTCCTGAATTTGAGTTTCTGCGAGCGAGCGCCTGGTTTGTTCTCAAAGGATAACTCTGCTTCTACTCGCGGAGCACTGTTTTGCTAGCGCAGTGGATTTCTGCTCGCTCGAGTCTACAGGACTTTTCACAATTTGGGGGCGGAAACCAAGGAGGGCACTGAACCTCTTATGATTGGTCATTTTCGTCATGATTACAACCACAGGGAAGTCCTTGTACCTTGATTGACAGCTCCCATTACAGGAAGCACGGAGTTGGGTTAACTTACCACTGAAGAAGAGTGGGGTAAGTAAATGAATTAGAATGAGATTTCTAATATACATAAAATGTCTCTGACTGCGTATAAAATGCTGCGCAGGTCATAGTTAAATCAATCTAATTCATTTACTTGCCCTCCTTGGTTTCCGCCCCCAAATTGTCAAATGTCCTGTAGACTCGCGCGAGCAGAATTCCACTGCGCGAGCAGAGTTATCTTTTGAGAAAAAAACCAGGCTCTTGCTCGCAGAAACTTGTGCAACTCTTGGTTGTTTAATTTGTGCGCGAATACCGTATCTGCGCGCGGGAAGGTTAATTTTTGCGCGTGTGAAATAACATAATGTGCTCATGAGAATGTCTTACAAGCACTCTCACAATTTATCACATTATCACAATTATCACAATATTTCTATATTCATCCATTGTGGATGTTTTAGCTCTTCTCATGGACCCAGCTCCACACATATTCCATAGATTAATAAAACTTCAAACTGAAGTGTGTCTGAAGTCTTGTTCCACAGTCCTGCTGCCTCCTGCATGTTAGTGGAACCTGGACGTGTGTCCCTCTCTCTTCCAGAAGAGATCTGTGCTGCTGACCTAAGGATAGCATCTATAACTATACAACTATACAAATGAATGACATATTCCACTTTTTTAAACAC